GAAATGCTTAAGAAATACAATCGCGGTGCTTCAAAAGACGTTTATAAAATCGTGACAGGTGACGAATCATGGATATATTCGTATGAGCCCGAAAGTAAGCAGCAGTCGACTGTATGGGTGTTCCAAGATGAACCAAATCCAACAAAAGTTGTTCGCGCACGAAGCACTTCAAAGAAAATGGTGGCCTGTTTCTTCGGAAAAACTGGTCATATTGCAACAGTGCCTCTAGAGCAGAGCTCGGCAAGAAATGCACATTTCGCCCGATTTTCAATTGACTCCGCCCAGCGCTCTTCCCTTACCTCGACGTCCCGCGCGCAGCCTACGAGCCGCGCGAGGCTCAGGACCGTGGCACCTCGCGACTCGCGACCGTATCGTGTCACCGGACCTCGCATACATATAGCTTTCCACATCACCCAGGGGGTACTATATTATCGACGCGTTTTTTTTAAGTGGTTTCCCCGTTAGGCCTAATCCACTGATGACTGTGAGACGACCTTTTAATAGCTTTAATTAATTTAAAAGAAGCAGAATTTTAAATATTAAGTGAAATAAAAAATACATTCAGATTCACGACTTTCGGGCTTTTTTACAAACGACAGCAGGAACGTCGATCTGCATATTGCACGTAGCAAGACGCATAAGACGCGGTAAAGAATTGTCGCTTAAACAAGAACGTTTTTCATTTTTAATAAACTTCATTTTCGAGAAAGAAGTCTCACATAAATATGTGGATCCGAACATAGAATAAATTCGGAGTCCGAAATCTCGAAGCTTGGGGTAGGTTGATTTTGATAAAACGTTATAAAATTCTGCACCGGTTTCTTGAACCGTTTTCAGAGAAATATCATTTTGTAGGTCACATAATTCATCCCGTAAATTAATCTGCTGTTCTGCGATTGGCGCTGTAAGAGGATTCTCGAAAAGAATTAATTCTGTTCGAAGTTTTTCGAAGCAGGTGAAACGCGTATCGAATTCTTCTATAACAGAATCTACGAAATGAATATTTTCTTTGAAATTACAGCTACTGCCGTGTTCTTCGAAAAGAATCTGGCAAGAAGGAAAATAATGAAAAATGTTGTTATTTAAATCAGATTTAAATAACTGTAATTTGCTTTGGAAAGAATCAACATGACTAACTAATTGGGAAATATTTTGAGTTGGTTTTTGCAGCTTTAAATTGAGAAGCCTAAGTTGATTAGTCATGTCAGTAATAAAGGCAAGTTCGGAAAGAAATGTTATATTTTCTAAAAGAGATATATATTCCTGAAATTTTGGATTGTTTTTTTATTGAATGAAAAGGAGGATATCTTTTCTTATAAAAAAAAATATTTCCAAACATTTTGCAGCACTAAGCCAACGTACTGGACAATGAAGTGGGACATCAGTGTGGATAGCATTATGTTCATGGAGAAATGATTGAAATTTCCGATGACTAAGAAAGTTCTGTCCACCTTTAATTATATTTATGATTTTAGTTACAGTCTCCATAGCTGTTGACAGTTTAATAACTTTGCCACTTAGTGCTTCCTGATGAATTATGCAGTGAATAATAGGGATGTTAATGTTTCGCTGCTTTAATTGACCGGCGAATCCTATCAAATTTTTTTACTACCGAAGGTTCAAAACCGCAAAGTAAACAAACCGTTCGATCGGAAATGTAACCGAAGAAATAATTAACTTCCCAAGACTGATCAAATTTTTGAACATATCTTTTGTGATCCATTCTTAAGATTGATTTGTTAAAAAAAGAACAATACCTTTTTTTTAATCGCAAAAAATTTGCAATAGAGAGGCATTTCAGAAATCGTCATGCAGTCGATTATTCGAATTACTCACATTCAGAAAAGTTAAGTGTTATCGAAGGATTAAAATTAGTTTATCAAGAAGATGCAATACCTTCTTCGAATTCTTCTTCTCAAAAATCCCGATTAGCCTCTTATGCTATTTCTTTGCTTATAGCACAAAATTCAAAACCCTTTACTGAAGGTACTTTCGTGAAAAACTGTATCATCGAAGCAGTGAAAGTTTTCGGTAATTCTTTGACTCTTAACGAAGCATTGAGTATTCCCCTTAGTGCGAAAACTATTACTTCGAGAATTACTGATATTAGTAATTCTTTAACAGAGAAATTAAAAAATCTTTTAAAGTCCTGTACGTATTTCTCTTTATGCTTGGATGAGAGCACTGATATTCGACATATGAGCCAACTGAGTATTTTTATTCGAATCGTGCAAGACAATTTCTCATATGTCGAGGAGCTGTTAGATTTCGTCTCGTTACATGACACAACAACTGGTCTTGATATTTTTTTAGCAGTTGATGACTCGCTTAAAAAATTTGACATAGACTTCAGTAAATGTTCTTCGGTTGCAACCGATGGCGCAAAAGCTATGACAGGTTCAAAGATAGGATTCGCCGGTCAATTAAAGCAGCGAAACATTAACATCCCTATTATTCACTGCATAATTCATCAGGAAGCACTAAGTGGCAAAGTTATTAAACTGTCAACAGCTATGGAGACTGTAACTAAAATCATAAATATAATTAAAGGTGGACACAACTTTCTTAGTCATCGGAAATTTCAATCATTTCTCCATGAACATAATGCTATCCACACTGATGTCCCACTTCATTGTCCAGTACGTTGGCTTAGTGCTGCAAAATGTTTGGAAATATTTTTTTTTATAAGAAAAGATATCCTCCTTTTCATTCAATAAAAAAACAATCCAAAATTTCAGGAATATATATCTCTTTTAGAAAATATAACATTTCTTTCCGAACTTGCCTTCATTACTGACATGACTAATCAACTTAGGCTTCTCAATTTAAAGCTGCAAAAACCAACTCAAAATATTTCCCAATTAGTTAGTCATGTTGATTCTTTCCGAAGCAAATTACAGTTATTTAAATCTGATTTAAATAACAACATTTTTCATTATTTTCCTTCTGCCAGATTCTTTTCGAAGAACACGGCAGTAGCTGTAATTTCAAAGAAAATATTCATTTCGTAGATTCTGTTATAGAAGAATTCGATACGCGTTTCACCTGCTTCGAAAAACTTCGAACAGAATTAATTCTTTTCGAGAATCCTCTTACAGCGCCAATCGCAGAACAGCAGATTAATTTACGGGATGAATTATGTGACCTACAAAATGATATTTCTCTGAAAACGGTTCAAGAAACCGGTGCAGAATTTTATAACGTTTTATCAAAATCAACCTACCCCAAGCTTCGAGATTTCGGACTCCGAATTTATTCTATGTTCGGATCCACATATTTATGTGAGACTTCTTTCTCGAAAATGAAGTTTATTAAAAATGAAAAACGTTCTTGTTTAAGCGACAATTCTTTACCGCGTCTTATGCGTCTTGCTACGTGCAATATGCAGATCGACGTTCCTGCTGTCGCTTGTAAAAAAGCCCGAAAGTCGTGAATCTGAATGTATTTTTTATTTCACTTAATATTTAAAATTCTGCTTCTTTTAAATTAATTAAAGCTATTAAAAGGTCGTCTCACAGTCATCAGTGGATTAGGCCTAACGGGGAAACCACTTAAAAAAAAACGCGTCGATAATATAGTACCCCCTGGGTGATGTGGAAAGCTATATGTATGCGAGGTCCGGTGACACGATACGGTCGCGAGTCGCGAGGTGCCACGGTCCTGAGCCTCGCGCGGCTCGTAGGCTGCGCGCGGGACGTCGAGGTAAGGGAAGAGCGCTGGGCGGAGTCAATTGAAAATCGGGCGAAATGTGTATTTCTTGCCGAGCTCTGCTCTAGAGGATCGTAGAACAGTAAATTCTGAGTGGTACACAACCATCTGTTTGCCAGAAATCTTCGGTGAAATAAGGAAAACAAACAAGAGACGTCGGATTGTTCTTCATCATGACAATGCGAGCTCTCACACATCGGCTCAAACAAGAGACTATTTGAGCACTCAAAACATCGAATTGATGGGTCATCCGCCGTACAGCCCTGATTTGGCACCCAATGATTTTTTTTTGTTTCCATCCGTGAAGAATAAACTGCGTGGTAATCAACGATTTTCATCGCTCGAAGAAGCTATTGAAGCGTTCAAAAATCATGTTTTGGAGATACTTCATTCGGAATGGAATAAATGCTTTGAAAATTGGTTTAAACGCATGCAAAAGTGTATCGATCATCGTGGCGAGTACTTTGAAAAACAATAAAAATATATTCGCAGCTTAACTATTTGTTTTTGTTCCTATTCCCGAAATATAAATAGTGACCCTCGTATGACTAGGAAGATCGAAATATGGTAGTTGTCTCCATTCATCATCAATTAATTGATATTGTTGATTATTCACGATACGTGGTAAAGTTTTCATCAATGGTAATAGACTTGGCATTTTATCTCTACTGTTTCGAAGCATAGCTTTAGATGGATTTAAATATGACAAATGTTGAAGAGTTTCATTATTAAAATCAAATCGTTTTTTTATCTGACTACAAGCAACCGTCACAAACTCGATGCATGACAAACGAAAATCATTTTTTAAGTTATTGTTTCGATTTATTTCAGGCTTATTCAAATATTCCATAACTTTAACTTCAAGATAAACTTGCTCGAGATGTAAACGGTGTTCTTTATTATATGGATCAATATCATTCAATTTGTTTCTGCTTATATAATATTTATCCATGTAAATTTCTAAAAGCTCTTGATAAACAACACTCATTTTGTCATAAAGTGTCGTGATTACAACTGACTCTGATTGAAAGAGAAGATTTAAATTGTTAAATTTTGGCAAAATCCATTTTAGAAATAAATAATAAAGTTTAATTAGAGGATTCTCAAGAGCTTGTAAAATTTGTTCTACAGCAAGTAATAGATCGCGCAGTAGATCTTTGATCCCAAAAGTACAGACGCAATGCTTCCCATTGCTCAATCATGCGTACAACAACAGCATTTAATGATAGCCATCGAGTTTGTGATGGTCGTAAGATTTTATGAATTTTAATATCGAGAAAAGCCTGAAATTCTTGAAACTGATGTATCCTTTTTGCACTATTTTTAAATTCATTATATACATTACGTGCTAAATCCTCACACGCCCGTGGCAACTTTACAAGCTTCACTAGCACAAAGATGTAAAGAGTGGTATATACATTTAAAAATAAATATTCCAGGACACTGTACGAATTCTTGATGCTACTGAATTGTGTTCTCCCATCATAGTATTGCATCCATCCGATGCAAAGCCAATGACATTGTTGAATGAAATTTGATATTTCTTGAAACACGTAATTACAACGTTGAAAAGATGATCTGCGGATGCTTCATGTGTATCTTCATTAAAAATTTGGCAGATATCCCAAAGACGACTGACCACTCGACCTTCTTCATCATCAAAAAATCTATAAGCAATCCATAATTACATGTATTATATGGCATATAATTAATATTTATAACTAAAATTATGTAAAATTTTCAAATTACCTGATAACAATACATATTGATTTCATTGCAGCAATATCGGTACATTCATCGATCAGAATGCTGAATAAACTATATCTCAATTTAGTTTGTAACATTCTTTTTTCCGTACTACCAAGTACGTTTTTTATTATTGCTATTCCTTTGGTAGACTTCAATTGCATATTTTTTACTATATCAGAATCAGTCACACTATTTTGGATTAAAGGTGTTAAATGATCCAATACTCTCAATGGAATATTATGTTCTGCTATATATGCTATAAATGCACATAATTTTATTTCAAATCTTCTTGTCGCTTCTTTCATTTTAATCGATATGTCAGAACTTGAATCACTCCTAAATTTTTTTATTTTTTGTTGTGAGGTCTGAATGGATCTACGTTGATGGCTTTGTGCTTTTAAATGATTTTTTATTACTGTCATCTCTGCCGTGAATGTTGTATTGCACAGCACATTTTGCTTTGTAAAGATCATTCGGAACTTTTGCAAGCCACAATTTATACTCTTCTTGTGTAAGCCAAATGTTTCTAAATTTTTGCATTCGATGTGATTTTGCCTTTTTAAGTGGTGTAGAATCACTGTCTGTATCCTCTTTATTAATAAAAACAAAGTCCTCCATTTCTTAACCTCAACTATTGCACGTATCGTTATTCGTTAACGGCTGCGTTCGTTTTAGACGCTTTTAGCGCTATAAGCATCTTCTGTCTTTGTTTGATATTCGATGTGCAACGAAGATAGAAGATGTTTACAGCGCTGAAAGCGTCAAAGCGAACGCAGCTATCATCCATTATTCATATTTTATAATGGCTTTAGAAATGGAACTATGTTTAGAAAGGCTTGCGATAGGATAATTTTGTTCTCCCCTAGATATTCTAATAAATATCTAGAGTCTAGAGGAAAACGAAATAATACGCTTGCTGCGCGACAAAAAGCGACGCGGTAACCAATCAATGTACCACTTTTTAATAACAGCTAAACAGCTGTAAGTTTATTGACTACCGTGTCGCATTTTGCCGCGTGACAAGCGTTTCCGCGTTCTGTGTGCAAAAACTATGTCAAAACTGAAAAATTCTCTAATTTTCTCAAATTATCGTAAATTTACGTACGATACCAAAGTGCTATCGTACATCGTAAAATAGCTAAAATTATTGTACAAATACGATAATTATCGTACGTCTGGGAACGCTGCTTGGTACTGTCAGCACTCGACATTTGTCAGAAATATTAAGTTATTGTTAATTTTGATAGAATTTTGGTGAAGATAGCATGTCTTTCTTGCGATGTATGGTAAATCTCAAGTGAGAAGAAACTACTTCTAATATAAAAGTTTTTATTGAAAAATATAATTAAAAGGAAAATAATATTGTGTTTGTTTATGAGCTTTTAATATATTATTATATAAGGTTGATTACGATAGTGACAGCAAAAAGAGTTAGAAAGAAAACAAAAGTTTATTAATATATAAAATAAAAATGTATATTTTAAATTTTTCCTCTTTTTATGTGACACATCCTTGATGTGGGCAATATAAAAAAAATCACTTTCTGTTACGTAAATTTCTAATTGACCAATGGATTTTATGTACTTCGCCGTAACTCTATAATACTTCAACCTAGGGGGTTCTTAGTTTACTTTATTTAACTTCTTTTTCATTTATCCAACTCACTCGTATGCATTTATTATAACAATAATGTTTAGACATGCATAAATCATCGACGTCGTATTTATCTGCTTTTTACAATATACAGAGTGTTCCATAGGAAATTGCTGAAACTAATCAGCTGTCATTTTTTAATGCATGCAGTTATTGAGAAAACAAAAATTGTGTTGAACAGAGGAAAGTCTGCAGTTTTTAATTGATATAAATAAAATGTATATCAGTTTATTTTATTGAAAAAAGTAATGAAAAAAGTTGCTAATAATTACATATGTAAACTAATGATAAATATTTTCGAAGTGCGCATCATTTGAATTGGTACAAAAATCTGTTCTTTTACGAAAACTCGTAAAAACTTTTTCTAACATGTCATTTTTAATGTTATTCATAATCCTTTTTGTTCTTTTACGAAAACTCGTAAAAACTTTTTCTAACATGTCATTTTTAATGTTATTCATAATCCTTTTAATAGCTGCTATTAAATCTGGCACTGTTGATAATATTTATCATTAGTTTATGTGATTTTATGTAATTATTAGCACTTTTTTCATTACTTTTTATTAATAAAATAAACTGTTATATAAATATTTTATTTATATCCATTAAAAACTGCAGATTTCCTCTGTCCAATTGTTTTCTCAATAACTGCATGCATTAAGACAGCTGATTAGTTTCAGCAATTTCCTATGGGACACCCTGTATTATATCTTATATCAAATAATACTACCTATATTTAGATATTCGCCTATCGTTTTGAAATATTAATTCAAAATTTCAAATAAAATTTACCTAAATAGAATATATATATTTATATCACTAAATTTCGGGCGTTAATCTATCGTTAATTATAACATACAATATTCTAATTAAATATAAAATAATCTACATTTATAATTTCCTATTTGAGTATTCACCTTTCATTAATTGGTTGACTATTAGAGATTATCTATTATACATAGGATTTTACAATCGGCCTAATACTGGCCCAAAATTAGTTACCAGGTTACTTATATTGGCGCGATAATAGCAACCATAACTGGTCTATCAATGGGAATATTATGGAATGATAACTTCGGTCCGATAAAGGATAATTATACGTGGTCAAACATGGTGAACAATGTTGAGCCATTAATGGTTAATTTATTATGTCCATATTCAATGCCAATAATGGCTTTAATACAGTGCCGTACTTTCTTTATTTTTTTATATTTAATAATTGTATAATTATATTGCAATTACACTAAAAATGACTTGTAGGAAAAAGATATTTCTGCGTAAAGTACCTATTTATTAAAATATTTTTTGTATAGACTTTTTAAAATTTATATTAAACGCACTTTTAAAGAAATACATATTAATTATATTTATAATTATATATTAATTATAATATACATATATAAGATTTGTTTATTCAGGTTATGAAATTATGAATATTCTATTATTTTTTTTTTAGTTTTAGAACTCAAAACACATATGAGGTTAATCTAAAATTCAAACAGTTTCAGAAGGGACTTACAAATCATATTTTATCCATCAAAAGAAGTATTTTGTATGACTTAAGATTTTTCTTCGTTGATTTATTAGAAATGAGTTTATTGTAAGTATTCTGCAGCTGTATAACGAAGTCGCGGATTAGTTACATTCATTTTATGAAAAATTCCACGACTTAATGCATATTTGCATGGTTCAATAAATAAAATAAATATTGTAGATTTAATCTATACTGTGGATATCAAACGACATTTAATAAATTTATGATCATGAAGTTTAACCTGTCTAATCTCACGTTGTTCATTAATACCAGAAGAACATAAATCTGGAAAACACATTAAATCTAATTGTTGCTCACGATTATTTAGAGGCATGTCCTGAATTTTTAACATTTGATATAAAGCTGTCGCAGTTTTATTTGCTTTCTTTTCATATAAGGGATAGATGGTATTTTGTTCATAATAGTCATCGTTTTCAGCATTAGTCACTTGAGTCAACATTGCTTTCCGTTGACCTTCTAACGTATCATTTTCTATCTCTTCTATCAGATCATTTAATAATTCAGTCTTATCATCGGCTAATTTCTGTATTATCTTCTGTCTCTTCCATTTAAACTTCAGAATTTTTTAATTTTGGTAAACGTAAATCATTGTAATTATTTGGCAATATAATATGAGAGTATAAAGTATTGTTGCGCTTTAAGCACGTTAAAGCGTCAAATACTTTTTTAACATCCAATTACTTCTTCCCAAATATCTTTGATTTTGTCGGGATACCTCTAACTAATATATATAATTCATGATTAATATTTATTGGATCAGTATTATAACATAGTTTGTTTAATGTCTCTTGTCACGGAAGTGGTAAATAAAATGTTCTACCTTTAACTTTTGGTATCATTTGTCTTTGAGGCAACTTTTTATTAACCCTCAGTTACCTCTCTGGGTTACGTTAACCCATATCAAAAATTATTTTTTCGAAATTTTAGAAAATCACTTTTCATTTTTTCTCAAATATCTCGAGTCGTAGAAATCGTGACATTTGTACCGATATATGCTTTTTTCTTACTGTCTGGCGTATTGATTGAAAAAAAAATACTTCAAAATAGCTTTATTAGATCCAGAAATATAAACAAAAGAAGACTCTGGGTTACTCTAACCCATGAATGGTAAAATAGGGTGGCCAAAAATGAGTGGTAACTGAGGGTTAATAACAGTTCTCATTTTAAGGACAGTTTGAAACGCTTTAGTTCTCTGTATACGAATTTTTTCGAATGTATTAAGAGATATTACTTCAGGCACCTGATTTGTAAAGAGATTATTTAAGACAATATGCAGGCATTAAGCCTTTACGAAATTTGCCTGCACAATAATTACATATACATATATTGCGCATCAACTTTTTGTTGTTGTACATACGTCATTAAATCTCTCCAAATTTCAACTTATGTCTGAAGACTATTGATTTTAGAAACACTTTTTATAACACAATCTCACATGATATGCGAACATGTCGTGGTGCATCCATAGAGCGTTTAGTCAATGCTTTAAATGCTAAACGATATTTAAATATAATATCATCATCACTCAAAATTGTACCAATCCGTTGATGTCTGTAAATACCTACTTTCTCCTGTGCAGAAGTCACAATTTCATTTAAAGTGTTTATATCAGTATTATTTAATAAAAATTAACGAGACCGGGCAGACAAGCCGTAGCAGAGTGTTTGCGCTAATAAACAAATTCAATAAGGCAATTACGCAAAAAATATACGTTTCGGTTTATTTAAAATCATCTTCAGTGTAAAGATACATTCATAATTAACATTAAAATTAAAAAATAAACGTAAAACAGTCGGTAATAAAACGCAGTGCAAATTTCAATAAGTAAATGATATAAAATTCTAATAGTAAAGACTCGCAATCATATAAAAATATAAAATAAAATCTAACGGATATATCGAGGTAAAAAAAACTGTAAGCTGATAAATTAAATGCTTCATATATTTTACTTTTGGAAAATGAGGCGATAATAATTGAACTGGAAGAAACATTCCTTTGCAAAGTGTTAAATCAATATAACAGCTATGATCCTATTTCTCATTTGAAGTTTTCCTAGTACATTTATGAATATTTTGCATAAGTTTTGGTACATTTTTTAAACTACATGTACGTACGGTTCGAGAAACTTCTGAAAATGATCAATTAAAATCGGATTAATTTTACAACTTGCAGTATTACACATCAGTTTTGGTTCATTGTTTAAGGTACATGTATTTATGGTTTTAAGAGACTTCTGAGAACGGTCAATTAAAAACGGATTGTTAATTTTATAGTTTGAAATATTACACGACCAAGATTTTTTAGCTTATTCTGTTGTTAAAGGTAATATGTTTACTACTTTTCCTTTTACATTCATTACCAAAAGTGCCAATGATTTTTTAACATCATAATTGTAGACTGAATGAAATAATTCTCAGATGAGGCTGTATGTCTAGATTCGCCACATAGCGCAGTTAATTTG